CATTAGCCATCTTAACATGAACTAGGATCATGCATATGATTACTAACTAGTTTCTGTTTTGGCTCGGAGTACTCGGTAAGCGTTTATGCTTTAGCATCCTTGCATGTGTGTGAGTGACTGCCATGATAGCATGCTTACCATGAGGCCATGCGCTTATGTGATATAACTGCCTGGTTACCTGTGGGTGAAGGTTGGATTGCTTGAATTGGAACAATTCATCGAAATCCGTGTTTTAACCTACCTGCGAGTAGCGAACCTTAAACTATTTTCCAAACAAACGGATATACGATGCTTTGTTCCAACTTAGGCAATCTAGTCTATACTTGTTTTGCTGTGCGCATCACATAGTAATTTTAGGCTAATAAACCAGAATAAGAGCACATGTGTTTTCAAAAACTTGATATCATGTTTAGTAGTGACCGATCTTTGATCGGGCGAGCGGGGGTGCTCATAGCTAACCTTCTCCAATCGTACCCAAGTTCCCGAGCCGAGGCAACTTTGGTGACGACGGACATGTGGCCTTAGGCAACGAGTCAGGGTTTCCTAAATTTCCCAAAAATAAAACATTTAGGTGGCGACTCTGTATCTGGCAAAGCAGTCCATGTTTGGCACTTCTTTATAAAAATTGGTTTTCGAAAATGATTTGTGGGATTTGGACTCTTTGGTGATTTATCAATCTCACATCGCACATTGTGAGATCAGATTAAGAACCGTGACTATTTGAGTCCTGAACTGTAGCGAGCCCAAATGAACGTAACGGGATTCCCTCCCGGGACGTTCAGGGACGTCTACAGCACCCATGTCTAATATTTTCAAATTTTCCATTTTACGGAAATTTCATCCGCGGGACTTGGCACCCATGTCTAATATTTTTGAAATTTGCCATTTCACGGAAATTTCATCCGCGGGACTCGGCACCCATGTATTCGTATGCATATCATATACAATGACCAATCAATACACATATTCGCTGTATTATTCCAACCGTCATACTCAATGACATACTCAAATTGATTAGTTTTAATTCACCTAATCATCATGCAGTGTCTACAACAATCAAGACTATCCTCCATTGATAGCCCAAAACAGTTATTTCTAAACAGATAATAAATGCATCAACAGATAAATTATCAACAATTTTCAAAGGTGAGTGATTATTAAATCCAACTCCACCATTCTACTACATAATGAGCCAATTTCATTATTTCCAACTCAATTTCATATTTCCATAACATTTCTAAATTAATTATATAAATTAATTCATGCAACAATTTAGGGCTTTCTCCCCTTTTTTTTCTACAATGACCCCAAGGTCCCATATATCTTCAACAACAACAATACCATCATTCTAAGACCCAAGATACACATTTATGAGTCAAAATAATCAAACCCCTCTTTATTCATTTTGAAATCCTAACACCCAAAATTACCCAACTTCAACATTTCATCAAAATGACCAATAGTTTATGTCAAAGATAATAATAATGAGTAGTTATCCCTACCTTAAAATATGAGACCAAAAGGAGAAGATGAAGAATTTCGAAATGCTTCAAATCCCAATATTTTCGGATGAAAATGTAGCCCAAGCCAAGGTCTACACTTTTTACAAAGGCCCAAAGGTAGGAGATCACTCAAACTAGATCAAACCCTAGAGAGAAGTTGAAGTTTTAGAGAGAGGTGCTCTCCAATGGAGGTTTTGAAAAGTTAGAGAGAGAGAAGAGGTTGAAAAGTGATCCAAAAAGTGATTTCACGGATTGATATAAAAACAGGTCCGCTCGAGCGTGGGATTCCCCATTCGAGCGTCAGACACAGACTCACGCTCGAGCGTCAAAACCCCCGTTCGAGCGTCGATTGCACACTTCCAGAAGTTTTGCAGACCATGGTCCCCGCTCGAGCGTCAGAATCCCTGCTTGAGCGGAGGAACAAAATCAAAAAGGCCCGCTTGAGCATCAAAACTCCCGCTCGAGTGTCGATTGATCTGCAGAGCAAAAATGCTGAGAGATGAAAAACCACGCTCGAGCGTCAAAAGCCTCGCTCGAGCGTGAAGGCCAAAATCTGGGCATCAACTCTAGGTTTCTAAACACAACCAACCTGTTTCAAACCTGCCCAACATAACCCAAGACTCAAATACAAAGAGTAAAGGATAGAAATGAGAATAAGACAACAACACATTCACGGAACCGCGCTCGGAATACACTACACAAAGAAACGGAAAATCGGGATCGCTATAGTTAGTAGACCTACCTATTTATTTAATTTTTAATTAGTAAATATATTTTTAAAAAAAATTTATAACAAAAATAGGAAATATGTACATATTTGTTTGGTATATTTATTAACAATTTCAAAATTAATTAAGAAATTATGTACTTATTCTTAAAAGGATAAATTATATTGGTAATCCCTATATTTTAACTCTTGTGTTGTTTTTGTCCTTGAAATTTTAATTTGTTCAATTTTGACTCTAAATTTATAATTTTGTCTCAATTTGGTCCAATTGTTATAATTACTAGTTTTTTTATTTTTTTATATATATTGAAAATACACACATGAGTAGCATCTGTTATACTTTTATAGATAAAATTATAAACCTGTTTAACTCAATAAGGGTTCGTATGGGAAGTGGGTTGTCTTTTTGGCTTTTTGGCTATTGGGAAGATTTTTTTGGCTTTTTAAACTTTTTGTGAGAAAAAGAATGTAATGATTATGAGTTGGATGCGATATTTTGTCTTATTGGAGTAAAAAGCCTATTTAGTCTTTTTGTGATTAAAATAGCCCCAACATTACTTCCCAAACGAAGCCTAAGTTAATCTCAACCAACCCAATATCTATTTTCTTTCAAAAATCTTAACTAGCATTATTAATTGGACCAAATTAATACAAAATCTAAAATTAGGGGTAAAAATCAAACTAATTGAAATTACAGAAACCAAATTGACACAAGAGACAAAATGTAGGAACTATCGATATAATTTACCCTTCTTAAAATATGTCTAATATTAATTGTATCAATATTAAGATATATTCATATCTGAAAAACTATTTAACACTAGATCAGGCTAAAACTTGAATAAAAAATTACTAGCTTATTAGAAATATTTAATAATTATAAATTCAAATTTGATCAATTTTTTATTTAAATTTTTCCATAGAATTAGATTGTTTGATAATTTTAATTTATAGTTCCAATTTTTTCTTGTATTTTTTTTAAAATATTTTAAAATTATATATAATTATAATTTCTTTTGAAATTTCCTTTCAATCTCAAATTAGATATAATTTGAATTTGGTTAAAATTATTTTTGACTTCTCATCTACGAAAACTAACATAAACATAAATTAATTTTTTGAACATTATAAGGTAAATAAAGAAATATATTATCAATAATAATAATAATAACAAAATATATTTTTATTTATCATGTGACATCTCACCACTACATTGATAATACAAATTAATAATAAAGTCATTACGATAATACAACAATAATATATCAAATGATAAGTAACATGTGATCACAATAATTTTTGATAGTTATACAAAAGTACCCAAAATTATATATAAAAAACAATATATGATCTATATTCAATTTTTATATGGTAAAATTCACACTTAATCTCAACCACACATTAGCTTTCTAAATCAATTCATCACCCGAATTATCTACTATTCTTTTAATATTCACATTTTCAAAATCCACCCAAATAATGTTCTGGCTGAGCTCATCATCATCTTTGTTGTTGCAATGCTCACGACCTCCACTAACAACTATGCAACTCCGGTCGAGTTTTTTTATCTTTGTAAATATAAAAAAGACAATGTTGTGGAAATAAAAAAGTACCGTTAAAGTTTTAAAGAGTTAAAAATGAAAAATAAAAAAATGCGTGATTTTAGGTTTTCTTATTCCATATATGGGTGTTAATTTTTTTTTTTTTTTGAAATCCATAAATAATGAAATAGTGTTCATTATTTAAAATTTTATTTATTGATGGGCAAGTCAATTAAATGTTTTTAATTTTTTACAAATAAAAAATTTGAAAATTTTGTTTAAGAAATTCAAAATGGCCAAATCATAAAGAACAAAATAGTTAACATATATATATTTATTATCAATTTAGTTGAAAAAAAATACATTGGAAAAAAAAGACATATAGAGGGGAAAAAAAAAATACTCATATTGGCAAACAGAGAGAATAACCATTGCATCATTACATTTGGGGAGGAGTTGGCCGGGTTAGAAAAAAGATCAAATATTGAGTATTTTGAAGAGATAATTGCATTGAATTTTTAATTTGATTGGGTTTTTAAAATTTTAAATTTATATTATTTTCGGAAAAGGTGAGAGTCGGATGATGGTGACTTACCATATTATTTAGAATTTTGAAATTCAAAATCATAAATAATTAGTATCTTTATTTTTTTATTTAAATTATTTTGATCAATATTATTTTTAGTTAACCAGACTTGCAAAGCATTGATTGCGTTGATCATTTTCATTAGAGTAAAGTTGATCATTTTCATTAGAGTAAGGCTAAAGACCTAAAAAATCTATCAAATATTTTATATAAATGTGAAATTCTATTTAAAATATTGAATAAAATTTTTAATAATTTTTTTGGAATTTCTAACGTTATTATTTCCATTATCGCAAACAAGTTCATGGATTAGACTTTGGGTCAACACTGTGAGATAAGAGTAATATTAGAATCATGAAAAAATTATCATAGAATGTATCTTGAAGATTTTTCATTATTTGATTAGTGTGTGGTGTTTTATTATATATATAATCCAAAGATAGAGAATGTTTTATGATCATTTCCATGACATTTTTTTTATGATTCCCAGCATTACTCGTGATATAATTATTTCCTGACTGCCAATTTTAAAAGACAGAAGTGGTGACATGATGACTTGGTTAACTCTGTTCACCATTTTATCATCATCTTTGTTCCTCCCCTTGAAATGCCAAAAAATAAAAAAATTAGAAACAAAGAACACCATGAAGAAATCAATGAAAGGTTTCACCATACCTCTTTTTCCCCTCTACTCATTATTTTCCATCATAACAACCTCCAAAGCACTTGACACCATAACCAAAACTCACTTCATCACATATAACAACACCACAGTTTCACCCAGCGAAAGTTTCGAAATGAGGTTTTTCACTCCAGGCAATTCCAATAACTGGTACATCACAATATGGTACAAGAAGATAGCCTCAGGGACCATTGTATGGGTTGCCAACAGAGATAACCCATTTCCTAATTCCTCTGGTGTCTTGAAACTCATCGACCCAGGAATCCTCATCCTTCTCAATTCCACCAACAACATCGTATGGTCCACCAACACCTCTCGATCCACACGCAACCCAGTTGCGAGACTTCTTGATTCGGGAAATCTTATCATCCAAGACCCAAACGATCACAACCCAGAAAATTTTCTCTGGCAGAGCTTCGATTACCCTTGTGATACTCTGTTACCGGGCATGAAGGTTGGGAAGAACTTGGTTATAGGTCGAGAATGGCACATGTCTTCATGGAAGAGTAAAGATGACCCAGCCCATGGTGATTACACTTAGACCATGCTTGTTTGAGTGGACATGAGTTTGGGATTGGACTAATAGTTCAATAAAATTATTAATTCGATATTTAGTTAAACAATTGAAGTACAAACTAACAATCTATCTAGATATGGTATCCCACATATGATGGACTATTCAATCCCACAGAGGGGGTGTGATATAAATTGAAAGACTAAACCAAAGTCTGAACTATTAGTCCTCTTTATAATCCTAACTCAATCCAAACATAAGATAGAATACATAATCCAAAGGATTCGTAGTCCTAGGACTATTAGTTATGGGAATGCTAATCCAACCTAATCCAGTCTGCTCAAACAAACATGGCCTTAGGGTGTGTTTGATTGGGGGGATTAGGGGGGGACTATTCAGTATTTAGATTATTTATCCGAAAAAATGAGTAGTCCATCGTTTATTTTTTTTTTAGTTCGCCGGACATGGAATTCGGCCGGACTCCTTATCCCCCCATATGGGGGATTATACTATCCCGGGGGAGGGGGTGTGGGACAGTTTTGAGGGGATAATTTACTGTTGGGATTAGGTGGTGAAATGACCATTTTGACCTTCTACTATTTAATTATATTTTATATTTAGTAAAATTCAATAAAATTTAAATGTCTCAATTTAAAAATAAAATAATTTTATTTAACTTTTTATTGATATTTTATTTATTTAATTTATAAAAATAAATTTATTTAATTGTGTAAAAAATAAAATAAAATAAATTTTTATTTAATCTGGCTAAAAATAATTAAAATATTAAAAGTATGTTTAATATTGTTATTACTTAGTAAATAATTGAAAAAGGGTAAAATAGTTTTTTGTTCATTTATCCTATCCAGTCCGTCCAACTAAACGTTGGATTCACTAAAAATAGTCTTTTCCAGACATCTAATCCCATGAAAAAATGAACACATGATACATATCCAATCCAACCAAATAGTCCAGGGGATTCACAGTCCAGGACTCAAGTCCGATGGATTCTAATCCCCCTTATCTAGTCTGTCTAATCAAACACACCCTTACTGGTTAGATCTTTGTGGATACCCACAAATGTTCTTCAACAAAGGCTCTGTTGTGTTGTTCCGAGACGGACCATGGAATGGTCTCCTGTTCACCGGCACTGCGACGATACTAATCAAGAATCCAATTTTCAAATTTGGAATGCATTTTGAAAAGGATGAGATTTACTACAGGTGTGATCTCCTTAACAGCTCTGTTGCTTCCAGGTTTATCTTAACTCCCAATGGTTTTCTACAGAGATGGACATGGATTAATCAAAACAAAGGTTGGGTGCTTTATGTAAATCAACCAACTACTGTTAATTGTAATAGTTAAAAGTTGTGTGGTGCTTATGGTAGCTGTGATGATGTCAATAAATCCCCTATTTGCGGGTGTTTGAGTAAATTTGTGCCTAAAAACCCAAAAGATTGGAATACGACGAATTGATCGGGAGGGTGTGTTCGGAGGACGGTGTTGGATTGCGAGAATGGAGATGGGATTTTGAAGTATTCAGGGGTGAAATTTCCGGATACGCGGAGTTCGTGGTATAATAGGACGATGACGCTTGGGGAATGCAGAGAGGTGTGCTTGAAGAACTGTTCTTGTATGGCTTATTCTAGTTTGGACATAAGAGGAGGTGGGAGTGGGTGTTTGCTTTGGTTTGATGACTTGGTTGTGGGCATTTACACAAGGATGGCTTCCTCTGAGTTCGGTAAGTATTCACACAAACCCCAAACACAAATGAGTTATTTTTACACTATAGTTGAAATTTGATAGCATTTGTTACTTAATTTCTCACTATTCAATGAAACTTATGGCAACTAATAGTTTATTAATGCAAGAAAATATGGGTAATTAGTGTACAGAATATCATACTTGCTCAAGAAATTCCTCAGTTTCTATAATGTTTATCTGATTATAGATTGACAAAAAGAGAGTTCAAGGGTTTTTGGAGTCCAATAGCCTATAGTAGTACTTGAGGCATAAGCAGCTAATCTTTCAAATTTGTGCTTTCATGGTTGTAGACTTAACAGTCCATCAAGCCAGCTTCAGTGGCAAGAAAAGTGAGATAGTCATAGTGACCTCGACATTATTCACTGGAATGCTTCTGCTGGGTCTGAGCATAATGTTGTATATCTAGAGGAAGAAGAAGAAGAAGAAGAAGAAGAAGAAGAAGAAGAAGAAGAAGAAGAAGAAGAAGAAGGATTCACAGTTGAAGATAGAAGGTAATAAAAATGAGTGTCTATTTGTTCTCTGTCTTCGTTCTATGATCCATTTTGTGAATGGATTCTGTGTCTTTTTGTTAACTAAAATCACAAAAAAGCCAAAAAAAAAAAAAAAAAAAAACTCATAAGATTTATTGCTTTGTTAGTTGTCTCATTGAAACTCATAAAATCACCTACTTTGCAGGAAGGCCGATACACAACTCCAGACAAGGTTCCACTGAAAAACACCAGAAGGATTTTGCTAAGATAACTAGATCTACAAATAACTTCTCAATTGATAATAAGCTTGGAGAGGGTGGATATGGACCTATTTACAAGGTTGCAATTTAAATACCCTCATTTAGTTTTTTAGAATGTAGGTGTCATCCAGTCCATAAGTTTCAAGAATATTTTTTGATCATCAAATTGGTAATTTTCAGGGTAAGTTTGATGGAGGGCAAGAAATAGCAGTTATGCGGCTCTCAAAATATTCCAATCAAGGACTTGATGAGTTCAAGAATGAAATCATCTGTATTGCCAAACTTCAGCACTGAAATCTCGTAAAGCTTCTGGGTTGTTGCATACAAAGAGAAGAAAAGATGTTAATATATGAATTCATGCCTAACAAAAGCCTAGACTTGTTTATTTTTGGTTTGGCTCTCAAATTTTTTTTTTTGAATTTTTTTTATGGAACCTTTTCTTGTTAAATTCATTTCGCACGAGCATGGACTGACTCATATGAAACTTTGCTTAGATGAAGGCGGAAGAACATTAATGGACTGGCCTAAGCGTTTCCACTTATTAATGGAATTGCACGTGGACTTTTATATCTTCATCAAGATTCCAGATTGAGAATCATTCATAGAGATCTTAAAGCTAGCAATATTTTGCTAGATATCAACATGAACCTAAAAATATCAGATTTCGGCATGGCTAGAATTTTTGAAGGAAATGAGACTGTAGACACCCCATTTTTGACCGTCCTCAAGACTTGGACGTCACCGTTTGAACACTCGGTGACCATCCATGTATGTGTTCGTTTAGAGTTCCCGGAGGTCTTGGCTCGCGTGCCCTGCCTCAGGATCTCCGAACTCAACCGTTTAGTGTCTGGTTTTGCACCAAACACTTGCATCTTGCCTTTGAGAGGCAGGGAATGCCTTATGAGGCATCCCCACACACCACCGGCAGTGGCTGGAGGCCACCGGCTGGTATTTTTCTTCCATCGGCACCTTTGTTTGCCGGTCGGCACACTTTATTGCCGGTCGGCATAGTTTGTTGCCGGTCGGCACTGTTTTTTGTCGAAATGACATTTTTGGGCAGCCGACCACTGTTCATCCACTTTATGGAGATATTTTGTGCCAGCTGTGATAGCTGGCACCAACTCTTCCCCCCTCCATACACGTGTATGGAGGGATCTCCCTCTAAGCAAGCTTGTTGAATAAGCTTTGCAAGAGGGAGTCTTATAAGAGGAAGGCTCTCCTCTTGGTTCTAGGTTAGAGACTTTGAAGCAAAAACCAGAGCTTCCATAGATAGATACACCCTATCTCTATATCTCCCTCTCT